GATATCGTCCTCTTTTGGAAGACCAAACAAAGTAGTTTCGCTTTTACAACGAAGCACACAGCGTCTTCACGACATTGCGGCGGAAACAAGAAAACTACAGCGAGAATAAAAGTTATGCCTTCTTTCTTTGCGTGAACATTTGGGCGGCGTTATGCAAATCTTCCCACAGAGCGACGTAGGTATGTTGGGGCATGTTAGAACGAGATGTTTTAGGTAGGTGGGGCTGACTTTGATAAAGAATATCTCTTTGGATTTGAGACTTTAGTCTTTGCAACTTTACAGATCTTTTTTATGCACCAAGAGCTTGTAACACTCCAAAGAGAAAGGAAAAATTGAAATCGCATCATATGACCCCTTTAAAGCAGTGCATTAATATGGAACAGTGATTAAACTGACTTGGAACTACCTGTGCATTAAACGGTTTTACTGCATACCTGCCAGCCAATCAGAATCCAGTATTCAGACAGACCATGGAATAATCTCCTTTAAACTGCAGTCGGGTTATTTTGATTAAGTAAAAAATAACTAACAAATACAGCTAACTAACTAAGTTATCTGTTTTTGCAAATAATATATGTATATGTATATATGTAGTTGTATTTTTTTTTAAAGAAATTAATATATTTATTCAGCAAGAATGCATTAAATTGAAGTATCAGTAAAAGTATCTGTAATGTTACAAAATATTTATTTTATAGAGTTAGAGCTTAGAGTAAGTAAGCACAACTGTTTTCAACATTGCTAAAAATCAGAAATGTTTCTTGAGCTGCAAATGCAGAGTTCGGAAGGATCATGTGACACTGGAGACTGGAGTAATGATGCTGAAATTTTGCTTTACCATCACAGGAATACATTATATTTTAAAATATATTCAAATAGAAGTCAGTTATTTTACATTTTAAATACACATAACAGCATTTTTATCAACCCCAAAAATGTGAACAGAAGTGTGTTTTATGCTTAATAAAAAGAATCATGTCCTTAAGTTAGCAACATGCTGGGTTATATTAGAGTACTCTATCAGTCAGTAGTAGAAACCTAAAAAGAGTCCAAATGAGAGTGCGTTATTGTGAAGTTTCCTGAGGAGAAATAGGGAGAGACTGGGATGATTTGATATGATTTATGAGGGGGTGAAGGTGTTAGTTGTAATGATAATTGAGATTGTTACATTTCCACTGCAGAATGATGGCAAAGAGCTGGAGAGAAGACAAAGGCTATAGGTGGGAACAATTTTCAGGCGTAATTATGAACGCAGCAGGGTGGCATGTGGAGCGGCGCTCAGATAGACAGAAACACTCTTGATCTGATAAAGTGACAGATAATGAGATGACGGGAGCAGATGAGAGAGCCCTAGGAAGTAGGGAAGACTGTGATCCAGGTGAAGGAAGTCACTCTGTGTGTGTGTGTGTGTGTGTGTGTGTGTGTGTGTGTGTGTGAGA